CCCCTATGGAGTTCGCGACTGCTGGGTGCTGCGAACTTCTCGCAACGCCCTAGGCCGGTGGTGGAGGCGGTGGAGGTGGCGAGGACAGAGGAGGCGGTGGGTACGATGGCGGCGGATGGGCACTGGTGGTGGTGGTGGTAGGGGACAAGCATCGTTGCTAACAGCGCTTTTTTTAAACATATTTATTTGTTCTAGATGGAATACATCGTTCAATATCTTATCGACTTATATTATTTAAAATATCTAAGCTAACTTGAGAAAGGCTTCAGACTAGAATCTATTTTTACTTTCCCGTATACGTACGTATACTGAGTAATATACGCAGTATGGAGAAGTTATCTAATGCTATGGAAAATCGATTACGAGATTTCCACGCAAATACACGTTTTGGTGACCCCTGATACCGAACAAGTGGTTCTTTTCAAAACGCACGTCTGTGAATACTACTAGTGTATAAACCATGCATAGGATTTTTTCCAAACTGAAGAAACTCCTCTCTATCTGGCTCGAGTCAAAACTTTGAGATTTTGAAAAACATAATTTAAAATTTTGGGGTACTTTTCGCGCGCGCGGGCACACACACACTCTCATTATAACTCTTAGAGATTAGAGCTTGTTCCTGCTGGGGTAGTGCCCCGCTGGTGGGAGATATCTGTCTGGGGAAAACCCCCGGAAGCCGACGTGTAGGTCGGCACCGGATCTCGCCATCAATCTGGGGATTCCCCCATCCCGTAACAAAAACAAGCACTATACTGCCGAAACTAATGACCATAGTAGTTGAGATACTCCAAAACACGAAATAATTAATCAATAATTCAATAAATTGAAACTGTTAAATTAGCTGAATTAATTAGTCGAAGCCCGTCACCGTCGGGACTCGAACCTCGGAACTCCTAGACAGAGGCACTGCAGTAATATCAGTTGATGCCCGTGAGCCATCTGTATCGGTCCCTCATTCGGATGTAATTTAGAAAGAACCTGGAAGTGCAACATTTACCTGCATGTAAGGCCAAGGCTCGTACTCGATATCCGTTACAATTATTTACGGCACCAAAATAGAACATGATATCAACAAGCCAGAAAACGTTTTAGCGGATTGTAAACATGATAATGATATACGTAAAAGGTTTTAGCCTACCACTCATTCAGGTTTGTTGAAAGTCCATCGGACAGGACGTAAAAATACAATAATTTTT